TTGTATTGTATTGTATTGTATTGTATTGTATTGTATTGTATTGTATTACTCTGGACCACTTCAAGCAATTTCAATCAAACTTGGTACACAGATGACTTACTCTCTGGAAACAAATACTGCAGGGGTAAGATACCCCTAACACCCCTCGGGAGGGGTGCCTTAAAATGGCTTCTACTGTACAGCACAGTGGACTTGCCATGGTAATGGTTTCACAGTACTCCACAAGGGGCTTCCTCTTGTGGAGGAATAGAAGAATTGCGATGCTGCGTGAGAGACAGTACAACAGCATGAGTCCCAACTACAGGATTTTCCTATCTAATACTGGATTGGGATATTACAGGTAGTCCTTGACTTACTAGCGTTTTTTTTAGTGACCATTCTAAGTTACAGTGGCATTTAAAGTGACTTATGACCATTTTTCACACTTATGACCATTGCAGCATTCCCATGGTCTTGTGATTAAAATTCAGACACTTGGCAATTGACTCATATTTGGTTGCAGTCTCTTCGGGTCAAAGTCAGATTCACTTAACAACTGTGATAAAAAGTTGTAAAATGAAGCACAATTCACTTAACAATTGTCTTGGTTAGCAATAGAAATTTTGGGCTCAGTTCTGGTTATATATCGAGGGCTACCTGTAAGAACATTTTTTTTGTGTGAGGAAGGGTTTTTTTTAAATTAGCCTTTTGTCTGTTGTTTGAAAGGTTTCTCATCTCAGTGAATTAGGCTGCAGAATTTAACAGATTTAACAGATAATCAGAGTTGGAAGGGACCTTGTAGGTCATCTAGTCCAACCCCCCGCCCAAGCGGGAGACCCTACACCATTTCTGACAAATGGCAGTCCAATCTCTTCTTGAAAGTCTCAAGTAATGTCACTCCCACAACTTCCAAGGACAAACTTGACTCCTTTGTAGCTTCAGATTTAGGCTGCCGGAATGCAAACTTTATTGAAATATATTTGATAGTATTACTGGAATAAAAAGAATGAACTTTGGTGAATGCCTTACTGGTAAATGTGTGGTACTCTTGAAGGTATCCTGCGTGGACATTGAACATCAAGGAACATACTGGTGTCGAGTATACAATAATCAAGAAAATGAAGAAAGCAGAAAAGTGAAAGTAACTATAGGTAAGAAGTCAATAGTAAATTTAATTAAGCGGTAAAGTGGCATGTAGTTCAGTTTGGAATATCAACACAAGAAATTGCTAATGGGATCGGCTATAATTAACATGGCAGTAGTACAGGACTTGTTTTCTGTAGAACTTAAAAAAATATTCCATAAAATAATTAAAGTCTGAGCTTGGTTGTGTTCTTAGTTGTTGATGCTGGACACCAATACTGTTGCCATTTTTGTAACAGTCATACTTATTTTACGGAGGTTTTTTTCACCTGCAGAAAATCTTGTTCAAACTGTGTGTTCTTCTGAATGTCATTTCTGGAAGAGATAAGATTGCCACCATCATAGGATAAACTTTATGCCCCAGGGAGGGAAATGATAAGATTTCTGTGCTGTTTATCAAATTTCTAAGCCTGTTACCGTATTCACTTGATTTCCTGATGTTTATTCATGCTGCGTGGGAAAGGGATATCTAGATATATATAAAAGTGAAATACCACTCACGCATCATTTCAAAATCTCCAGAATCGTAAAGCCTACAAACTTGAAATTTGGCATGTATTTTCCTCTTGGCTTCTAGGGGCTCACTAAGAAAGGATTTTTCAAAATGACCATCAGAGCATTAGTATTCCATATATTATTATTAAGACGCTCTCATGCTAAGGCATTTTACTCCCCCTCCCCACCTGAAAAGAAATCTGTTCCAAATGCAAAACACAAGCAGAGGAGAGGAGTTTCAGTTTCACAGCAGCAACCACCTTTAGTACAGAACAGTTGAGTTAAGCCATGCGGACCTCCTTGCTGTCCCCTTCTTGCTCACGCAGCAAATACTGCTTCAGTTTCCAAACAGCCCTCAACTCTCTCACACACTGTCAGGACGCTAGCCAGATGAATACTGATGGATGCTGGTAGGCAGAGGCAGAATTTTTTTTTCTTATTTTCCTCCCCAAAACCTAAGCCCGATCACATAGTTTCTTAGTGAAGCACAGGTATAGAGCTAGTATACCAAATATATACTGTTATTTACTATTTGTATTCTGCCGGGATATATAACTAGGATACACATAACGTTTGAAGATTCTCAGTTATCCAGGTCACAGTTGTTCCAATGGTGCTTTTCCAAAAGGCAACTTGGTTTCATTTCTCATCCAAGAAGCTTGGATGAGAACAGAACTGAAAAAGCTTCTTGGATGAGAAGCGAAAAGTTTCCAAGGAAAAACCAACTTGGTTGTCTTTTGGAAAAGCACCTTTGGGACAGGATACCCATACATTTTCATTTTAATATTTTTTTTTACTTTTTAATGTGTATTATGCACCATGAAGCAAAATACTGTGTGTAGTATAACACATATGTATATAATGTGTATATTAAATGTATATGATTAATTTTAAGACAGGCTACAACAGGTTCATTTCCATTTTTACTTTCTAATTGTATGAGACTGGATTTCTAGTAGGCAGACAATCAAAACCTGCTATAGAATTGAGATTATATTGTCCTTCTGTAAAACCCTGCATGTAGTTTGCATTATGAACAATTTACTGTTCTGTTAAGACCCTTTAAGTTTATAATATGCTGTGGTCACTATTGGTTGAAAGCCTCAATAGTCTGTGTCCAGTGTTGATCGCTCTCAGATAGACGTGCTAAATTATATGTATCAGCTCTTCAAGGTATACCAGACTAGGAAACCAATGCCATGTAGATTGGTTCTAATTTTATTGTAAAGCTATAGTAATAGAATCTTGCAAGTCTGAATACATTTCCCCTTCTCTCCCTTCTTCATGTGAATTAGGGAGGAGCCCTTGTGAAATATTTACTCATTATTTTCTTGATCCTGGCTGATACCTTCTTATCTGCCTGTTGCACTGATAGCAATTCTTCCTCCTGTTATTATACTCCACATGCCCTCTACAATATCTATCTCAGGCGTGTCAAACTTACGGTGTCACTGTGTCATCATGTGACCTTTAGTGACTTTTTCCCCCTTCGCTAAACCAGGGGTGGGCAGACAGTGATGCATCCGGCCCGCGGGGCGTGAATTTTACACTCATGTTCTATGTGATATGCAGAGAAAGTGATTTGCTTAAGCTCCCTTTAGATCCCTGAACAGTGAGTGGCAGAAGAATAACTGACTTTGCCTCCCATTATAAATATGAGGTTGGCTCCATGATTTTAGAAAAATAAAAATATACAGTAAAGAAGATATTTTAAATGCCTCCAATGTTTCATTATGTATGCCCTTTATGAATTCGTTGCAAAAAAACCACCCCTCCATACATACATTCTATCCTGGTTTCCAAGTTTGGAATTTTAAATATCCTCATAAGAACAATGCACCTGTCTTTATTAGATCCTCAGGCAAAAAAAAAATAGACCCAGTTTTCTCTCAGTTTGACAGTCACACATTTAAGTATGAATTATGCAGTAATTCTGAACTTGTTAGAAATGTAACTATAACTTACCTTCTATGTGTATTCTTGCCTGTCACGAATAAAATCAGAAGCTTCACTGTAGCATTCTTTTCTCTTGAAACTCAAGGTGGAAAATCTATTGCAGTAGAATGCACGGAAGGTAATGTTAATCAAATACCGTACAGCTTTCTGATAAAACCTAAAATACTGACAATTGGGTGATTCTGGGATCTGTAACTAGAATGGAATGTTGTGCTGTATTAGTCTATGAATGCCAATGTGATGCCATATACTTGCATGAGTTGTTCAATCCTTCTTTACATCTTTTACTAATCCTTTTCTTTGTCACTAACTTCGTAAGCATTGAAGAGAGCAATAGTTTTAATGTTTTCTTTCTGCTTTTAATTTTAATTTTTGGTTAACTCATAAATCCCTTTTCATATACTTATTTAAACTGTATGCTCATTTGTCTTTGTTCCCTACAGAAGAATTAAATGACCTGGCAAGACCTGGTAAGCATATTATATGGGATAACATAAAAACTGCAGATCTTTCTTCATGTATGCTCATGTACTGTATATTGCATTGGATAATATATATAAAATCTTTAGGATCTTTGCTCATTAATAGAAATTTGCTTCTATCAATACTGTTACCAATGGTGCTCATTATTTTTTTCAATTTTTAAACATATCATTGAATTTATAATCAACGTTTACATGATATGTCTTTATTCAAGCTGTTCAATAGTTTTAAATGTTTCCTTGACCTGCTATAAAAACTAAAAGTAGATATTGGGTGGAAAGCCCATGCTACAAGATTAGTTTAATAAGTTGGTTTATTCATGTGGTAGACTGAATCATATCTATTTTGACCTCCTAAGTTTATTGTGAGAATGCTCCTCCTAAAGATTTGAATTGTTGAGTGGCTATGCTTAGGTGGATACCTGTTCGTTCTTTAACCATGGGGCATCAGAAATATGTATCAGCTATTAATGTATATCAGCTATTGTATTATTTATATATGATAAGATAATCCAGATACTAAGTGAAGATAGTATGAAATGAATCACGCGATTGAGATGCTAAAACTAGCACAGATATATAATCAAGTGCTTGTTAAATCCAAGGAATTATCAAATTATACTTCCTTTAAGAATTATGCTAAGCACTCTATTCCCTCTCTAAAAATCATGTCAGCTCTCTTACATATTTGAATTTTGACAAGTATTGCTATGGGTTCTGAACCACTTTCTTTGCATCCTATGTCTTTGTGAGTATTTGTCATTAACATTGTAAGTTGCACAGTAATAATAATAGAACAACAAAAAACAAAAACGTGTATCTGGCAAAGAAGCTGATTTTCAGTTTCCAGTGGCCAAGAATCTTTTACTAGCTCAAAAGCAGGAATTAAAATCCCTGAAAGCTACATTAGGTTTATATAATGAGCTTGGAAAGCTATTTCTGATTTATATACTGAGTTCTCTTTGGGTAGCATTGTTGGAATATTTTCATAACTGAAAGGATGAAAGTAAATGATCTTGCAAGGAGTTTCCTTAGTTTAGCAACACTTGGGAACAGCAGGGCTGTAGTGTCCAATTTTTAATTCCTTGAAGCATAATTCTGCTTTCATCATTCTAGAAATAGAAATGTATTTCTTTCCACCATTAAATAAAAATATCAAAAGAGGGCTTCACAAACTATGTTGGAAACAGATTGTGGCTAGAATGCAGTATTGCAAGCTAACTCTGCCCACAGCCAGGAGTTCGATTCTCACCATTTGAAGCCTTCCCTCCTTCCGAGGTGGGTAAATGAGGACCCAGATTGTTGTGGGACAATAGGCTGACTCTAAACCGCTTAGAGAGGGGTGTAAAGCACTGTGAAGCGGTAATATCAGTAAGTGCTATTGTTATTATGGGGCCTTTATTTGACTGTTTGCATTGAATGGCCTGATAAATGGAACATTTGTGGTTTTTCTGAACAGATTTTATTTTACCCACGTTTCATGAAATTCCCAAAATTGTTCAATTATTTAATATAATGGCTTAATTACATTAAAATATAATTCTAGCAGATTGCTAAAACAAAAACCAGACAGCTACTTCTAACAAGCCCAGAAAATTATAATTACTTCAGTAGGGAAGATTGAAGTTTTATTTTTGTAACCTGCATACAGGTAATCCTCGACTTACAACCATTTGTTTAACAACCATTCAAAGTTACAACAGCACCCCTCCAAAAAATTTCTTATAAGTGATCGTCGTATTTATGATCATCGCAGCATCTCCATGGTCACATGATCAAAATGTGAGTGCTTGGCAACCAGCCTGTATTTACAATAGTTGCAGCATCCAAGAATCATGTGATTGCCATTTACAATCTTCACAGCTGGCTTTTGGCAAGCAAAATCAATGAGGGAAGCCAGATTTGCTTACGAATCATGTGATTCACTTAATTACTGAAGCAATTTTCTTTAAAAAGACTGGCAAAAAAAGGACGTGTAATGGGGCATGACCAGAGGTGGTTTTTCAGCAGGTTCTGACCGGTAGCGGAAGAGAACCGGTAGTGGAAATTTTGAGTAGTTTGGAATACCACCTCTGACTGGCCCCACCCCCATCTATTCTCTGCCTCCCGAGTCCCAGCTGATTGGCTGGGTCTTCTTTTGTTGCCCTGCACAGGAGAACTGAGCTGGAAAGCAGGTTAGTGGGATGGGGAGAGAATGGAGATTTTACAGTATCCTTCCCCTGCCATGCCGACCATGCCACGCCCACCACTGGGCATGACTCACTTAAAAATCACCCGGCTTAGCAACAGAAAATCTGGTCCCAATTTTGATTTTGTAAGTTGTGGACTGCCTGTAATACATATCCAATAATCTTATGAATTTTACAACACAGATCAGTCTAGTAGTGCTCAGTTTTAAAAGTCACCTAAGTGGAATTCCAACAGGAAATAAAACTGGATAACTCCAGGGAATAGGATATAACTTTGTAAAAAATTAAAAACACGAAACATTTCCCTTGTTAAGTGTTAAGAGCTGAGGAACATTTGAGGACCCAGATTGTTGGGGGCAATATGCTGACTCTATAAACCGCTTAGAGAGTGCTGTGAAGCATTGTGAAGTGGTATGTAAGTCTAAATGCTATTGCTATTATTTGTAAATTTTATTGACATTAGCGAGTCCAAAACGTTTTTTCATTCTTTCTTTACAAAACAGATCTTGAACAACCAACTGAAAGACAGTTTGGTAAGTAGTATTATATATTTTTTCCAGCCAGGCAAATATTTATTTTATTAAAACACCACCTATCACACTAATACAGCAGCTCCAAGCCGCTATTATACAGAGATGATGCTTATCTAAGGTATTGTTTCCCAACTCTAGCAACTTTAAGATATGAATGACTATGAATTCTGGGAGTTGAAGTTCACATATTTTAAAGATGCCATGGTTGAGAAACGCTGATTCATGACAAAAGTCTTCCTCTGCCTGTTTTTGTTAAATTACAGAAATTCTCCCATTCTCTAACAAATTCACTTCTCAATACCAGATTACTCATTTATCCAAGAAAAAAAAACACCAAAAAAACAACAACAACAGAGCAATATGGTTCTGGCCAAGTTTACAAAAAGAAAAATCTGTATTTTCAATATTTAACCATTAATTAAATGAATTCTGTAAATTAAATAAAGAAAATCCTGCATTTGTAGTTTGTGACTGATGTCTGATGGAATCTGTATATTCTACTCATGTTATATATTATCTAATCCAAATCACCTTATTTCATATTTTATGGTACCACAATAATCTTCATAATTCCATGATTTGGACTCTTACCTCCCAGTTTTAGCTTTGCTTAGCAGTAAGCAGATAAGGAAAAAAGTTCTATTCTAGGTATACAAATTTAGATATGTAGATTTATACTTCCTTATTATTTATTTAGATTTATATTCTGTCTTTCTTCCAGGAATTTAAGATAGCTTACAGGAGTATCTCTCCATAGCAGCATAATGGAAGAACTCTCATGCAAGTTAAATTTTCTTTACACAAAGTTGACAGATCCAGAAGGATATACAGTGGGAGAAAGACTGATGGTACAAATTCTAAATTTGCAGGAGCAAATACCATCATTGACTACATTGGTTTAATAATAATTGCAGCAGCCCATTAAATTAAAACTTTTAATTTAATTTAACTTAAATTTCAAAAATCACATTAAAATCTAAACCATACATGTTCCTTTATAGGTAATACCTTCATCATTGCTCAAGAATTATTAAAGTCTAAAAATAGTTCATTTTTGAAAAAAAAAATGCCTTCTTTTAACTTCAGAACTCCTAATAGTTAAATTAAGTAATTAATTCAGACAAGCTTAATTTCTTGCTTTATTCTTTGTTTGAAATTTGGCCTTCCAGAGAAGGTGTTTAAGCTCATTCTGGGAAAGGTCCCATTAGAATTTGATTCTTTGTTTGGCAAAGAACATTGTTTATACAAGGGATTTATTTAAGTATAGACATGAACAACAAAAGGTCAGTGCATTTCCTTAGCACAATAAAATGCAAACTATTTGTATGGTGCTACATAGAGATCCTCAGTGCAATGGAAACTAGCTGGGCTATTGCAATTATATGAAACAAATGCAATGATGGAATTTGCTCCTGCAAATTCAGAATTTGTACCATCAGTCTTTCTTTTACTGTTGTACCGATTTGTACGTGTCAAGTTTGTGTAAAGAAAAATGAAGTCAAATGAGAGTTCTTTCATTGTGCTGCTTTGGAGAGATATGCCTGTAAGCTACTTTAAATTCTTGAAAGAAAGGAGGATTATAAATCTAAATAAATAATAAGGAAGGATTAAAATCTACATATTTTAATAGCACATGTGATTTAACAGTGATGTTCCCACCATTACTATAAAAACTGTTCAAGAAAGCTGAGATTATTCAAAGATGAGTCAAGAATCTGGAATTCCTATTCACAATTTTGATGAATAAAGAGATTTGCAAAGCAAGATAGCATTTAACAAAATGCAAAATTCCCAACCGGAAGTACAATTCATGTTGTTTGTTGTTTGTATTACATCTGGCAGTTTACAACCTGTTTTGCTAATGTATGCTTTCTCTTTGGATGAAATCCAAAATAGGTCCGTATTAATTCCCTCTCTGTTGTATTAACCGCCCCAAACAATTGAACTCTTGAGAGTGTGCAGTCATTTCTAACTCTGTCTCCATGAAACGCCTGCCATTGAAATAAATCTTGATAGATTGTGTTTCATCTATAAACTATGTGTTCAATCACTACAGCTGCAAAGATAAAACAGTAAATATAAGTCCAAGGGAAAGAAATTGGTTTGCAATGGTTTCAGAAAAACGATTAATTTTTATTATATCAAAATCACTTTTTAATGCTTTGGTAAGGCCACACTAGGAATTCTGCAGCTAATTTTGGTCACTCGATGTAAAAAAAAAAGATGTTGAGATTCTAGAAAGAATACAGACAAGAGCAACAAAGATGATTAGGAGACTAAAACATAAAAATGGTTGCTGGAATTGAGTATGTCTAGTTTAATGAAAAGAAGGACTATGGGTGACATGATAGCAGTCTTCCAATATCTCAGGGGTTGCCATAAAGAAGAGGGAGTCAAGCTATTCTCCAAAGCACCTGACAGGACAACAAGAAGCAATGGATGGAAACTAATTAAGGAGAGAACCAAACTAGAACTAAGGAGAAATTTTCCTGATAGAATAATTAATCAGTGGAATGACTTGCCTCCAGAAGTTGTAAATGCTCCATCACTGGAAGTTTTTAAGAAGAGATTGGATAACCATTTGTCTGAAATGGGATAGGGTTTCCTGCCTGAGTAGGGGGTTGGACTAGAAGACCTCTAAGGTCCCTTTCAACTCTGTTATTCTGTTAAAACAAGGCAGGAAGTTGAACTTGAATCAAACCTTGGACTAATGTTTGCCCTTGCTTCTGCAGTTGATATTAAGTTGCTTTGCCTCCTTCTCCCTAAGTAGGCTTCATTGCACATTTTTTAATGAGGAGTTACTTATATATAAGATACCATGAAGTCTGCCTATGAGTTGTCATGCATGTTAATTTCCTTGCATGCATAACGATGGAAAAACTATTTAGAAACTTGCTTTGTTTTCTCCCTTTGTAGCAGTAGATAAAGTGGCACTACTGATGGGGAACATGAGCTACTATAACCATCCCAAGCTCAAGGCTCCATTAGTTGACGTTTATGAGCTGACCAACGTACTGAGGCAGTTGGACTTCAAAGTGGTCTCCTTGCTGGATCTGACGGAACCTGAGATGAGGAATGCAGTGGATGAATTCTTATTGCTCCTGGACAAAGGTGTCTATGGTAAGAGTTTGTGATTTGGTGGCCAGTCAAGACAAGTTTGATTGCCAGGATGTATCTTTCACAGTTACCTTATTTGGTTGAATCTGGATTTCTGCAGTGAGGAGGGAATTGGACTGGATAGCATAAACAGCTTTTTCTAGCACGGTGATACTCTGATTCTAATAAAGTAAACAAAAAACATCACTTTATAAAATACATAAGAAATTTACGTTACATTGGTTGTAAGTCCAGGACTACCTGAAACATACAGGTAGTCCTCGGCTTATGATCATAGTGGAGCCGAGAATTTCTGTGGCAAGTCATGATGTTGTAAGTCAAGGAAATTGTGTGACCAGTTTTAATTTTATGAGTTTTTTATGGTAGATGCTAATGCCATGGTTCTTAAGTAAATGAAGTGGCCGTTAACCACACATGGTTGTTGTTAATCAAATCATAATGGAGCCCAGAATTGTCCCAGGGGTGTTTTTCTGGGGGGGGGGAGAAACCAACCAAAAATATCATAAATCACAGTCACATGGCCATGGAATGGTGCAACCCAGTGGTGGGCTGCACATTTTTTAATAATCAGTTCTCTGGGTAGGCATGGCCAGTTGGTCATGTGACTGGATGGATAATGTCACTCATCACACCCAGCCCTGCCTCCTGGCCATTTGTCTCAAAGGAACAGGTAGGATTCAGCTGGTTGGGGCTAATCCAATCACTGGTTAGTCCCACCCCTGCCCATTTTTTGGCCTGTTTTTCCCCAAAAACAGCCAATAATGGCCTGAAAAACAGAGGAGGAGGGGCCAGCCAGTGATCCGATTTGCCAGTTATCCGAACCCCGCAGAATCAGAACAAGGGGTTCGGGCAAACCGGTCTGAACCTGTAGCAGCCCACCTCTGGTGGAACCAGCTATTGGAACCAGTTGTCAAACACCCGAAATGAGGTCATGTGACCATGGGGTTGTGTGCAGCCATTGGAACTCAGGAACCAGGTTGACAGTAATATTTGGGAGGATCTGTCACAACTTTGAACACTTGCCAAGTGACTGATTGTTAAATGAGGTCTACCTGTATACAGTAGAGAATCTGTAGATAATGCCATCTTCATTAAATTGGCACTGAATATGGCTGAAGTTCAACATGTGAAACTTCCATTCAGCAAGTGGCTTGGACAATCCTCTTATTGCATATTCCAGGAATATTCCTGTCCAAAATTTATAGCAAAGATGTATCCCAGGCCTTCCTCTAGGCACAAATGCAGACTGCGGCTACATTCCCTGTACAGATGAGAGGCCTAATCTGTGTTTCTATCTGGTTGATGAATTATAAATGTAAGCAAATATATGTGTCCCTGGATAATGTTCCAGGATCCAATCTGGGTTGGTCACTGAGGTTTAGTCTTCCGAGCTTTCAGACTTTGTTGCGGAGTCCATCCTCAAGGACTTAATGAGCCTGAAAGCTTAGAAGACTAAATCTCTGGTCTCGGTGACTGACCCAGATTGGATCCTGGTTTATAATTTTTTCCTGACCTGACCCTTTTATTGTGAGCCTGTCTCTTAACTTTTAATCATAATGAGCCATGGTGGCGCAGTGGTTAGAATGCTGCTCTGCAGGTTACCTCTGCTGACTGCCGGCCAACTGCAATTTGATAGTTCGAATCCCACCAGGCTCAAGGTTGACTCAGCCTTCCATTCTTCCAAGGTGGGTGAAATGAGGAACCAGATTGTTGGGGGCAATAGGTTGACTCTGTAAAACTGCTTAGAGAGGGCTGTAAAGCACTGTGAAGTGGTATATAAGTCCAGGTGCTATTGCTAAATAGCATGAAGGTTTATTATTGTTTACTTTCTTAAATTACTTCTTTTTTAAAATAACATTATCTTCAATTTATATTTTAGTATTTGCAAAGTCCTTCTTACATTGATTTTATGTGATGGTATGGCTATTACATTTTGTTCGGATCCTTTCCAGGTAATCTGAAGCCCCCGAGAGTCTTTCAGTCAGTGTTAACTTTTTTGATCATTTCCAAAGTAGATCTGCTACATTGGGTGCCTTGGTGTTCCCTGAATTTCAAGTAGTCCTTTGGATCTTGTCAAGATGCTTGCTCTTCATCTATGCTTGGGCACTGAATTTTAAACTGATTCATGTTTCGAATTTAAATAATGCTACTAGGAAGCACCTAAGAAATGGCCTTAAAACATGACAATGCAGGTTCAACATATTTATCAGTTATAAACTTTGAAATGCCCATTTATAAATAAATACATTTTATTCATAATGCCTTGGTAAGGCCAGATTTGGAATACTGGATCCAGTTTTGGTCTCCACACTGTAAAAAGGATGTTGAGCCTCTAGAAAGACTGCAGAGAAGAGCAAAAAAGATGGTTAGAGGACTGGAGGCTAAAACATATAAAGAACAGTTGCTGGAACTGAGTATGTCTGATGGGAAAAAAAAGACTGGGGTGACGTGATAGCAGTCTTCCAATATCTCAGGGGCTGCCACAAAGAAGAGGGAGTCAAGCTATTCTCCAAAGCACCTGAAGGCAGGACAAGAAGCAATGGGTGGAAACTAAACAAGGAGAGGAGAAATTTAGAGCTAAGGAGAAATTTCCTGACAGAACAATTAACTAGTGGAACAACTTGTCTCCAGAGGTTGTGAAAGCCCCAACCCTGGAAGTTTTTAAGAAGAGATTGGATAACCATTTGTCTGGAGTGGTGTAGGGTTTCCTGCCTAAGCAGGGGGGTTAGACTAGAAGACCTCCAAGTTCCCTTCCAACTCTGCTATCCTAATATGTGTTTCTAATTAAATACATTTTGATTTGACTTTGATCTTCCCACCATGCGGTCTAGTGTTTTCAAGTTGGAATGCGGCCTTCAGGCTGCACATTTTTTCCTATTCATTTTGTGTATGCATGTAAAAACGTCTTTTGCTGAATCTGTTTAATTAAGCATGGTGTCCTCTACCCAGTGCGCCTCTCTCTCATGTTCTTTTTGTCATCGCTTAATCTTTTAAATGAAGAGGCTGTGGGCAAATCATCGATATTCCTCTTACGGGCCTACTACTTTTTTGAACTGATTGAAAAATGCCCGTCTCTGAAATCTCACCAGTGTTTTATTTTTCACAATTGTCATGACAAATGCTCTTCACCAGGCCAGGATAGGAAGAGCCCAGCTCCTAATAGTATACAAATATAGTCATGCGTTGATTCATGTTGGACGTGTCTCCACAATGGATGCTAGTACACAATGTGGAGCGGTTATATATGCAGCTTTCTCATAGATCAGATGCTTGATGCTTGATTCACTTAGTTCCTCCCGATCTGACATTCAGAATGCCTTTCGCTCTTCATGTGGCTGAGCCAACAATCGCTCTGACAAGAAGATTTATTGTAATAGCACTCAAAGCTTTTCAGACCATAGCATTCTTGGACAATCCTTTTTAGCCGTGGCTTGTCAGGAACATTCAGATCCCTTGCGGCTGTCGATGGGATGTTGCAGTTGCTTGGACGATCAGGCTCATGCATGCTTGTTGTTGTGCTTTGTTGGCAGTAGGTGCGGATGGCTGAGGTCTCTGAGAGTGAGGACTCAGATGAGAGGCCTGCGTGTGATGTAGGGATGGGGCCAGGGCTATCGGAGAGTGGGGTGCTACCTTCGGAGCTTGTGGAGTCTGGTAGCAGTGATGAAGAGAACCCTGGGGTGCCTGTGCTCAGTCGAAGAAAAGAGCAGCTGAAGCAGCACGGGAGACTTGGGAGTAAGGCTGGAAGGGGATGGCCCCTCCCATAAGGGATAAAAGCCAGCCTTCGGGGTTGGCTTCTTTGCAGGAAGCAAAGAAGTTCTTTCAACTTCAAGTTCTCATGGAAGTCCTGTCTGTTCTGGTTCGTGTTTGAAGATTTTTGGTTTGGAATATTTCTCTGCAGTTAATCTTGTATTCTTGGCAGCCTTTCATAACCTTGAAACCTTGGTCTTATCTGGGACAATTAGTTTTAATTACTCTTTGCTGTGGATGAACAGAATTCACAGAGATACATTTAAAAGGTTTGCTTTTATATATACTTTGTGTTTATTTGCTTTGAATGAGGCTTGGGTCAGAACACTTGTATCCATTAACTTGGTGTCCCTGGTGTGTTTTTATTTATTTATTTTTAGATCGAATTTGTATACCCACCCAACTCACACATAGGTAACTACAGATGGCTTACAAAATTTTTAAAAATCCATGGCATAATAACATTCATTTTAAAAAATCCATCCCCCCACTTCCTGTGACAGCAACAACACAATGAAATCAGCCACTTGATCGGGTCCCTCTCCATTCGTAGGCCCCAGGCCCACTGACAAAGCTATGTTTTTAAGACTTTTCAGAAAAGCAATAGGATAGGGGCCAACCATACCATACCTCAGAGGGAATGAAGCTCCATAAAGAAGGGGCCACCACCATTTTCATGGCCCCACTAGATGGCAATCCCTAATCAATGAAACCCATAGCATGCCCTGTCTTCCTGTCCTGGTGGGCCAGGTAGATGTAAGACAATATTTTAATATTGTAATCAAATATTTTGAAAGTTCTAGGTCACAACCTAGGAAAATCCAAACCCGGCAGAAAGAGAAACATATTTGTTATCATGGGCTCTTCAGAGGCCCTATCATGATGTCATCTAGCGATTATTTAACAAAACATGTTTTGCACAACCGAATATTAAGTAAACTTCTCCAAAACTCATGAAATTTTATACAGGTTTTATACACACACACATACACACATAAGACTCAGTAGCTTTCTCTTCCATTTATTCAAGTTACATTGTTTAGGAAAAAAAGTAAAAATACAACACCGCTTCCTTTCGAGAAGCATTTTTGTCAAAATAAGTTTGACTCTTAGGCACTTAACAGATATTTGCAGGCAGATTTCTTAACCACAATATGGAAGTGATTTGCTTCTGCATTATGTATTTTTCTGACTTATTATTTGTTTAATTTAGTGTCTCAAAGGTGCTTTTTCAGGAGGCAACTGGACTTCCTTGTTTTTTCGCCTCTCATCCAAGAAGCTTCTTCAGCTCTGACAGGATCCTGGGGAATGGAAGGATTTATATTCCTTGCAGGCAGCTGATCATTTGCATTCTTTTAGAGGGTCGTAGGAGCACTACTCAGGTGACCCTGAGAACACAGATAAACCTACAAATGCTTCAAGGACCCTCTAAAAGAATGCAAATGACCAGCTGTCTGCAAGGAATATAAATCCTTCCATTCCCCACTATCCTGTCAGAGCTGAAGAAGCTTCTTGGATGAGAGGCGAAAAAACAAGGAAGTCCAGTTGCCTTCTGAAGAAGCACCTTTGGGACAACCATGGCCTGGATGACTGAGAACCTCTACAGACTTTTGTTTAATTGAATGAGTACTCCTTGCGTTCTGAAAGGAATCAAGGGAAAATAGCAATAGCACTTAGACTTATATACCGCTTTACAGTGCTTTACAGCCCTCTCTAAGCGGTTTACAAAGTCAGTCTATTGCCCCAACAGTCTGGTTCTTCATTTTACTCACCTCGGAAGGATGGAAGGCTGAGTCAACCTTGAGCCTGGTGGGATTTGAACTGCCAAATTGTAGGCAGCTGGCAGCCAGCAGAAGTAGCCTGCAGTACTGCACTCTCACATATGCACCACAGAGGCTCCCTATGATGGTGTTAGAGCAGCAGTGATATCTGGGCATTATGAGCACTGAGGTTCAATGCCAAACATCCTTAAACTCATGCAACTCTACGTTGGGGTAAGAAGGCTGCATTAAACTTCCTTTATAACCAGCTGAAGTAGGTCCTTATCCTGATATCTCAACCTAGATTCCTTGTTTGTTAGCAGGGAAATTAAATAAATTGTGTTGCTTAGCAATCTTGCTTAGTACAATTCTTAAATGTGTTTTGGTTTTCTCCCCCCAGGTCTATTATATTATGCTGGGCATGGCTATGAAAATTATGGTAATAGTTTTATGGTTCCTATTGATGCTCCAAATCCCTATCGAGCTGCAAACTGTCTATGTGTACAAAACATCCTCAAACTGATGCAAGAAAAAGATACTGGCCTCAATGTATTTTTACTGGATATGTGCAGAAAACGGTATGATATTGCTTTCACCCATTAAGAATTCAATCCCGATAATTCAGGGCTCAAGATACACAGCTGTATGGATGCTACAGAAAGAAGCCTGTTAAATCAGCTAGCTAAATACGTGTTTCACAATTTTCCAATTCTTGGGAAATTATTTTTTTTTTAACTTTGTTTTCTAAACAAATACAGAATAAAAAGAAGGGGGCCCTGATGCACTCTGAACTTGACACAAGGACCTCTTCATTTCAACCCTAAGCTACAAATATTCTCCTTTAAAGAAATATTTCCTGGGCAGTTTTCAAGAAGAGATTGGACACGTATTTATCTGGAATGGTACAAGTCTTCTGCTCAAGCAGGGAATTGGACTAGAAGACCTCCAAGTTCCCTTCTAACCCAGTTATTCTATGTTAAGTTCTGAAGACCAGTGCTGTTCAGTCAACTATACAGAGCGCAGTCAGATCAAGGATAATATGACTCCACCTGTGAATGCCACAATAACAGTGGTATTCCAATTTAGTTGAAGTTTCTGAACCGTGCCTTCAAGGACATTGTGGATACTGTAGTAAACTAGACATGAGTGGTTGCACCAAGCTGTCTAGCACACCAGTTCAATAAAAATAGATTGTAACAGTATTTTAACCAGACAATGAAATGGTGAGGTAGCTGGCTATTCAACCAGCTGCTGTCTGATATATAGAAGAATGATAAATGCATAATAGAAAACGATTTATAAGGGTCTAGAAGTGAAGCAAGCACTAAGTGAGACGAAAATCTCTTTCTTAAATAAAATTGGAATTATCCGATTGCTTCCAAAAGCCAGTCTTCTAGTATTTTCAGCATAGTATAACTAATCCGGAGGCATTTTTGTTTAATTATGTGATTATCCAAGATATTTGTAAATCTCTTTTCTTCATTGGCTCAAAAAGAGTTTTGGGTCTTTGCTATATATCAACACATCCAAAGATTGTAGCATATATCAAATGGCTTAAAAGACTGAATTTTAGATTCCAGTCCTGTTCTTCAAGACTTGCCTTCATTTTCTCCTTTAATTTAAAAAAAAAACAGCATGAATTGTTTACCAAGCTGATAGAAGCACTTCACACTTTTGCCTAAGTATCCATTGGTAGATTCTTCCAAGGGAGTGAAAGAAAAAGATTTAGAAAAAAAAATAACAATATGCAGGAGTCATAAAAACCATTAATTGTTCTATTCTTGTTGGAATATTCTATTCTGATTCAGGCTTTTTTGATCATTCTGATTCTTGTGTTTTTTGAAGGAACGAATATGACAACACCGTTCTCGTCTTGGATGCCCTGAAAGTTACAGCTAACATTGTTTTTGGATATGCCACGTAAGAACAGCTATTAAAGTATTTATTTTTTAGAAGTGTGGTAACTTATTTTAATTTCTAACTATTAATAATCTCTGTTATTTTGAGTGTTATATGGATAAGATTCTGACCATGTTAGAGGTTAAAATCTGTTTTATTCATGATCGTTATTTAAACCAGAGGTCTCCAAACTTTCACAGTTTAAATTAGAGGTCTCCAAACTTGTGGACTTTCACAGTTTAAATCAGAGGTCTCCAAACTTATGGACTTCAACTCCCAGAATTCTCCAGCCAGCATAGCTGGCCGGAGAATTCTGGGAGTTGAAGTCCACAAGTCTTACAGTTGCCAAGTTTGGAGACCTCTGACTTAAATTGTGAATGGGCCTCAAGAGATGTTTCATTCCTCTGTTACTGAGTCATGGACATGATTTTCAATATTATAAAATATTGAAATATTAAATTCATAAGTCTCATCTCTTCCTTGCAAAAGAAATAACTGGCTATACTTGTCGATCTGAATGTTAGCGTCTTTTTAGCCACATGATGAAAAACTTGCTTTTAAGACTGAGGAGACTGCATTTAGTTCAGTGTGAGACATCTTACTACCTAGATTGTTTTCCCCCTGTGGTGAAGAAAAGAACACAATAAGTCTCAGCTACGCTGAGAAATCCCCTGAATTCTAAATAGCAGCTATTATTCTTCTCTGAGGGAAGAAAAATGGAGGGACATTTCTTAAGGCCACATAATGTATCCATGACAAGAGCTGGGCTTGAATCCAGATGAGATCCTGTTTATAGAAATTGATGGTCCTCAGAACCTGGAGGACTGTTTTTTTCAGACTTGGCTGCTATGTCCTCTGACACCATGGTTGCTCATTTGTCTTATGAGCCAGTATATAGGTGGGAAGGGCCATCATTGGCTTCCACCTCAGGAAGAAATACTGTTATCTGTAGATAGGTTTTTGCAGAGACTTTTTCCCCGTGTGCCAAATGGTCACTGTGAAGAATGAAGCTGGCCTCCACAGTCTGTCCACCCGTCCATTCATCCATCCATCCATCCTGTTCTGACCAAGGCTTCCTGAGACATTAACAAACACTTGTTAGTCCCAAAAACCTTTTGTTTTATTTCAACGGCTGTGAATTATAGTCATTCACAGCCCTTAATGAGTCTCAAACAGTTTGTAAATAGTCCCACAGAAGTCTGCCAAAGTCCTTTGGGATAAGTCTGATAAGTACGCACCTTATCTTTCTTGAAGTGCTGCCAACGACTAAATTGCCAATTAGTTGTACAAACAGAGCACAAATTCAACATGGAGCTTCAGGTTTCAAACTGACCAGTACAAAACAAAGCTGCTTCCTGAAAAGGTTCATGTCCCTTTGCTCCTCCTTTATGTCTTATAGGAAGGCCAATCACCTCCAAGCCTTACTCCTGAGTCGCCCTTTTTGTCTTGACTGTTCTTGTCTTCTTGAAGCTCTGTGCATGTGCTCAGGCTTCCCCTGTTCCTCTGCCTCGCTGCTGTCAGATTCTAGAGGCTCTGGAGTCAGCACATAACTCCCAGATGGCCCTGGCCCCATCTCTGTATTGGATGCAGAGCCCTCATCCTAGTCCTCTCCAGACTCTCGGGCTGGCCCATGTTCCTCCCCACTTTCAAACTCTGCTACCAGCTCCGTAGGCTGCTGGTGGATCACAACACATCCATTGAAAGAGTCCATTTGATGGCCTGTGGCCTGCTGACATATTAAACTCTTTTCACTCTGTCTGAACAATTTGAACAATTAGAAATATTCCTGCTGCCCCATCCAAAGCAACTCTACCTCAGAAGTTTAAGCTTAGTAGTTTAGATGCTGCATGATACAGATGCCTCTCCATCTACGGTGCTAACATACTGTCTACATATTGTCAAGGTGCCAAGGGGCAGAAGCGTTTGAAATTCAGCAGTCTGGATTGGCCAATGGGATTTTCATGAAGTTTTTGAAGGAACGCTTATTGGAGGACAAGAAAATTACTGTGCTGCTGGATGGTGTGGCAGAAGGTGAGAAAAACCTACCAGAAATAAAGAGAGGCGTTCATGGATTAATTGTACAGTAGTCCTTGCTTAACAATTGCATGTCCAATGACAATTTTAAAGACATGACAGCCCTGAGCTGTAGCTTATGACCTGTTCTATTATTGCAGCTGTTGCAGTGGTCATGGGGTTACAATTCAGGTGTGTGGCAACTGGATTGCAATTATGACATCACATCATCCCACGGTTACATGATTGCCATTTGCAAACTTCACTGCTGACTTCGGACATGCTAAGTCAATGGGGAAGCTGGTGAAAAGTCATCAATACTAACCATATGACAGGGATGTGAAACTCAAGGCCTGCGGGGTGCTTAGATCTGGCCTGTGGGCTGCCTTGAAAACAGTGAAGGTGTGGCCCAGGTGCCTCTGCCAGTGAAAATGGAGCTGGCCATGACAGCCTCCTGTGCACGGTTGAGCTCCGTTTTCGCTGGCAGAGGGCTGCAGGAGGCCTCCCCAAGCTCTGTTTTCTCTGGCAGAGAGCAATACAAGGCCGCCGCGGCCGACTACAGAGCCTTGATGAGTGACACATCTCCCTGGCCACACCTCCCTGCCCCCCCCAAAGTCAAACACAACCCTGAGGCAGCCCTCAAATGAAATCGAGTTTGACACCCCTGCCATATGACATGTTTAACATGAGATTCACCTCACCACAATCAGAAATACCAAAAATGCCATTGTAAGATGGCTCAGTCATATGACATCATACTTTATGATGTCCCTTAGTGACCTGAGTTGTCTGTCGTTAAGTGAGGACTTTATATATATATATATATATATAATATATATATATATTATATATATATATATTTTATATACTCCACTTACAAGGAAAATTATAAGCGAGGGTTTTATTGGCAATGTTTTGTGGACCAGAAACAAACCCACTATTGATGTACAAGAGTGCACTCCAGGAAATTACTCTATATTTCAGTTTTGATCAGTTCATAAATTCTTCCCTATATCTGAATTACTAGTTACAATTGTCACACATAAGAGCAATTCTTTCGCATAGCCTAGCTTGATGTTTCATTATTTGGTTCTACACCAAGAGATTAAGTTTGGGAAAAGCTAGGGAATCAGCAGGTATGCCTCGTTTATATAAGTTTACTTGTTTCTTTATCAACCTGGAGGGTTGTCGATCAAATGGATTTTTGCCATATTGGAATACAGATACACATTTTAAACAAGCATCTGGAAGCCTTTGAGTAAAACAGCCTGGGGGAACGGTGCAATGTCAGTGGAAACATTATTGGCAGAGAAAGAATTAGTGAAGCGTGCATCTGTCATTTTTCTATTCAAAACCATCCCTTTTTGCAGTTTTTGTAAACAAAAATGAAGCCGGTTGGAGAATTTGCTGCCAACATTATGAAAAATGTTTAATGTGCCTTCATTTATTTGAAGTTGATTTTTTTTTTGGCAGAGTAAGAGAGAATTGGAGAAGGAAATACCTCTAACTTTGCTCTTTTATATAGATTCTGCAGCTGGTCACAACTACTGTTTTATAGTCTGCTGTATTTTGGTGCCATTTTTTTTACTAGAATTAATTTCTCTGATAATCCCAGAAAATTAAGGAGTTGGGTACTAAATGTATTGGTACTAGATAGGGGATTAAATAGGAAGCTATGCAGCTGTCAGTTATTCCTTTGACAATTAACTCCAAACCTGCCTACTAAACAGAGAATAGAAAAAAGAATACCAGAACAAGGCAACATGACACATTCACAAACACAGGCATCCGAAATTATCAGTTCAGTGTTTACCATTATAAATAGAAAAGCTGCCTTCATCGCATACCCCAGTCTTAGAAAAGCCCTGCCATTCAGAATAGAATGGAATGGAATGGAATGGAATGGAATGGAATGGAGTAGAGTAGAGTAGAGTAGAGTAGAGTAGAGTAGAGTAGAGTAGA